TTCGGTGATGAACCTTCGAGTTCGGTAAGCCATCTGGTTAGTTAGTTAGTTAGTTATGGCGGCGAGTGTGAAGATGGCTGTCTTCTGGGTCGTAGCGCCGTGTAGTCTGGTAGAGGTCCTTGCTGCCTCCAATATCTGGACAATTAGTGACCTGATGATGGAGGCAGCAGGTACCTGATAAACGTTTGTAAACTTCTACAATAGATTTCTAGAACCTGGAAGACAGCTACCATACATTTTTCTAAAGACGAAGGATGAAACATCGTTATTATTCATAGTGTTTAATTATTGTCTCAAATGGACAGGGACAAATGGGTTTCACTTCTCGTTTGACAAAGTTTCGACATCTCCAAGATTTGCATTTCGCTTTCAACACGACAGGTTCCCTTAGACTGCGACCCGATGAAAGAAAGGCACCCAGAAGCATAGGAGAGTGGCAGAAAGAACTTGTTCTGCTCTTTATTGGCTGCGTTAACATTTTGATGAATTGTCAACGACAGAATAAAATACGTCTCGTTCTGAAAGAGGAGGGGCTACGTATGTTTCGAAACTCAATCTTATGTGATCGAGATGTAATATGGAAACAAATGGGCTATCAATCAAAAAGGCAAAAAAAAAAGGGGAGCAAAGACTTGCAAACAGATTGAAATGAAATGTGAAATTTTCGAACGGAGGAAGGCGACATTCAAGAGAGAGAGAAGGAGACCGAGGGAAAAAATATGTATGTATATGCAACTTTAATATTACAAAAAAACAGAAAAAGAAATAATATAATTTTTTTTTTTTGGGGGGGGGGGGGTAATCGTGTGAGTTGTACACAAATAATGTGATGTAGGAACAGGAATTTGAAACCACAAATAGTGTTTAATATATTTAATCTACTGTAACTTATCCGACACTTATTAAAAACTGCTATCGTCCTGATGATGGAGGCAGAATCCACCTCTGAAACGTCGGTAAGCTTCTATCATACTACACCATGCTACAGCCCAAAAGACAGATATATTTGTGTCAATAGTCCCCCACGTTATTTATAATCTGTTTACCTGATGGTCTATCATCACATTAAACTACAGTGTGTCCCAAAAAGATGTATACACAGTGCTGACGTATGTAATGAATGTGTGCATTCATCTTTTTTTGGGGCATTATTTAAAGTTTAATCGGAGTTCTGTCGTCGTTTGGCATACGATGTCTGACACTTCTGGTTTGGATCGCTGTACTGTGACGCATGCGGATTGAATCCCTCCGGGGGCAATGCACTTCTTGCATTGCAAGAACCCGATACTGCTGAATGATAAGTTAATGCAATTCATCGTTGGAGATTGTGCATTTCTTTAGTCCGAGCTAGGTAGAAGAAAGAAATACTTTTTATACCTAATTCCTTTCTTCTTTGGCTACTAAGTTTTCTTCGAAGTAAGTACGCGGGAGTCCGTCTGCCAAAACGTACCAAATTGTTGCCTGTCAAACCCAGACGCTGTCGAGAGAGACAAGGGGCGGATTTAACTCCACAGCTTGGCTGACATGCTGTTTGTTGTACTGATGAAACATGCTAAGTATAAATGGGGAAAGCTGCTTATTAAAAATATGTTATAAATTGATTCCCTCGGAGATTAAAAATTCATTGAGCATTTGCAATTTGTATGATGCATCGTATTAGACGGATAGCACATTGACACTAAATCAGCAACACTAACGAATTTATTTAGCGTTCACGAAATTAAAATCTAGCGTCAGTAACAGAGCAAACACTCCAGAATTGTTGCTGAATGCATACACTTCCTAACTTGGTTATACTTTAAATTGGGATTGACGTGGTTGGAAGTAAAAGTTCTGCATTTGCTTGATTCTGCTTTATATAAAAATTAACGTTCCTTTAGTGCGTTGCTTTCAGTCGGAATTCAAAGACGGGCTGAGGAAGAATAAAGGAGGGAGATGATAAAGTTTTATCTCTCCCTCAATTTCATCTGTCGTCATGTTCCCGTTTATTTCAATTTCAGACTCCCACTTAGGTTTCCTGCAGTCCGTTTGCTTAAAGGAAGCTGTTCTAGCTCAGATGGATCAGAAGACATTTTGAACTATCTCATATGAATATAACTGTGCAGTAATGATTTCTCCGCCTCATTATCTGCTCAAATATTTTATATTTTTAAATATGACTTTTATTCATGGGGGTTTCTCGTATCTGCTGAGGATCTCCTATTAAAACAATGAAATAAATCGAGATGGAATTTTGATTGTGAAACACCAGTTTGTTATAGTAGCTACATTATTTAAATTGTTGCAGTCAAAGAATTGTCATTAATAAATTTAGTTCAATATATCGTATATAATAAAATTTACATATTATATAACAAGGGGTTATGTTTGACTTCAAAAGTGAAAAATAATCTAACGCCACAACAAACAACCCGATTTTGACTAAATTTGATATTGGATAATTTTACGAAAAATTGTGGAGATATTTCAGTGGACCCTTAGAACCTGACTGGATGCACGGGATAGAAGAAAAATCGTCTGTCCCTTCTTGGGATCGAACCCCGGTCGTACAGCGTCGTTAGAAAACCCCGAATAGATAGCAAGGTCTCAGGGCCGAGATTTGAATCCGGGACCATCCGAAGACGAAGCCGGGGTGGTGGCCATTTGGTGGAAACGTTCGGTGCTCCTAAATTGACGCGGAGACACGACGTGACTGCAAGCAGGCGAGACATTCACGGCTTGTTTATTCCCACAGGCTTCTGTAAAATTGAGAGGCGTTGGTTCTTGCACCTCTGACGTTTTCATCTCGAGAAACATCCCGTGCCCCTTCACCTCATGCGTCATTTGTCTTTCTTCCTGACACTAGGAGCTGCCTCTTGGGCATCTCTCCCCATCGACGAAATTCATTTCGCGTTTCAGGAACGTATTTTTGTTAGTGGTACCATCGGTCAGCCGAGCTAATGGATTCAACTGAAGGATACGGGAGAGAAATGCAGTCATGCTCTGCTCAGATGGAACATCTCCTTTTCTGAACTCTCGTAAGCCCAAAAAATAATATAATAATATTAATAACTTAATGTAATATATTACATAAAAATCCGACTTGAAAATGTTTGAGGTTTTTCTGGTTTTCTCATGGATGTCTTACGTGTTGTTGCTTCGTGTAGTCTGGTAAATGTTTACCGACGTTTCAGAGATGTTTGCTGCCTCCATCTTTAGGGCTATATATTATGCTGAAGTAGGAATCCCCTGTGTCGTTAGGACAAATGAATTGAAAATAAGAGTATGAAGAAGGGAAATAAGATTTATCGTAGTACTATGTAATTATTTTATCAAAGCAAATGATAACATTGGTCTTAAATTTCCATTTATTTTCATATTTTGTAAGGGGTATTCACTGTAATGAAAAACAAAATTTAACAACTTTGTGCTGTGCTTTATCAGATAATATTTTGTAACTACGTCATGAAATACGTTCTTTTGTACTTCTTTTTACGAGGAGTGAAGGATTACGTCAGTGACATTAGAGAGTGATCCATCGTCTTTCATTTGTTCGTTGTGTTGGAAGTAGATGGGGTCACAAAAGTTGCCCCACAAGTAACTGAAGTCCATGGACCAGAAACAGGTCCTGCAGTACAGGATTATTTTATTAGATAACGTTACTTTCCATTTATCCAGAATAATTTAGTAATGGTAACATATTTCAGGAAAAGAAGTCTTTTGAATTGCCTAGACCTATCTGATAATTATTTTCATTAACCAAATTATGTAATGCACTTTTAAACTTGTTGTTCAAAATTTCAGAAGTGGACGTTTAAAAATTCAGTGCTGAGGCTTTTGTGAACACGATAATGAACCTTCAGGTTCCATAAATGACGGCCAGTTTCTAAACCTGCTAAGCGACCATTAGCTTTTTAAGAAGAAATATGTTTTGTTGGTTTATAGGGGTCTATAAAATTACTGCAAGGTTTTGAAAGTTAATTTATACGAATCTATCTGAGCGTTATGTTTACGTTGCATCTATTGTTCAACGAATAAACTATTACACATTCTAATCATTTTGCGTTTCGTAGCAGCTGAAACAGCAGACGTCGCCCAAACAGCCAGACATAATGAAGTAGCCAAAGTATATGAATAATTTAAACCAAGACACCGAAACCTTATGATGTCTTTCTCTGAATTATAACTCTCGTTCACACACGTAGCCCAACTTGAGGACACAGCCCATATCATTGAGTCCTCCTGTTTTCTTGAGAGAAAGGCAGTCTTCATCTCCCCCGACGTTGTTGGGTTCGTTGGCGTCCCACGCGGTGTACCCAGTCTCGTTCAGCGGCTGTCCTTCTTCGTCCTTAGATTTGCAGACAAATGAAGATGACTGTATTATGTGATGAAAAAAAATCAGGGCCGGTGGAGGCAGCAAGCACCTCTGAAACGTCGGTAAACTTCTACCAGACTACACCGTGCAACATCCCAGAAGACAGCCATCTTCAAAGATGCATTTACAGGACGCAAAGAACGGAATCCCAATATAAACATTTAAATCAAATTTCGTGAACTAATGTAAAATCACGAAGTAAAGGGCCCCAAAATATTAAGCCATTTGAGCAGAATAGACAAATGGATTTTTTTGTTAATGTTAATATTTTATTCACATTTCCGCTGGCCACTTGAATACTTTGTACGAATGCATTGAAGTAGTACCAAGACTCAAGTGTCACGTGTTTTTCTATGATAGTGAATTTGTTCTTGGACTGTTGATGACGCTCAAACGATGAATTAAAAGCAAGAGGAAGGAAGCGATCGTGACCTAATTTAATACAAAGACAGCTGTCTTCTGGGTTGTAGCGCCGTTTCAGAGGTCATTGCTGCCTCCATCATCAGGACAATAAGTCTACACGGCGCTACAAACCA